CACACACACTCACACACACACACACACACACACACACACACACACACACATGTGCTCTGTAGACTTCAGCCATATTATGCAAGGCACTTGTTTAAAATAAATACAAATATTTGAACATTAATTGATATGTCATGTAGCCTAAGTATCTTATTTCAGCGAAACAAAGATTTCAATATTATTATTATTTTATTTATGATGGATGTTCAAAGAACACCACTGAGAGCATGTTATAACATCTAAATTAACTAGTTTTATTCCAAAAGGATTTGTATATATTAATATATTCAGTGAAAAATATAATTTAACATCAATTTACACAACTGAAAGTATTTTTCAGGTTCAAGATCAGGTACGAATATCCACATTTGCATTTCATTTGACATTGTTTATAATAATGCTTCATTTTAACCAAGTTTAACTGAGTATTGATCATTGTTAGCTTTGTAGACAACGATATGTCGGTGATGGTGTTGTCATGGCGCTGTTTTTGTTGAGGATGTTCATAACAGCGTTTTACTTTAGCAATACCTTCGTTTATACAACAAGAGCTCACCATTCTGTGTCTGACTCTTACTTTATTCGAGCTAAACATGTAAAAGAATGTCGTGTAAAATAGTTTTTTACCTCATTTCTGATCTCGGTGTGTTTTCAGCACCTTGGACAAGAGCGCGAAGATTAATAAGAAATAAGGTGCGTTTTTTTCTTTCTTTCTTTTCTTTTCTTTAGCTTTTGCGCGCCGCTGCTGACCTTTAAACACAGCAAGGAGCGAGTGTTTCTTCTTAGGTTCAAAAAAATGCTAAAATGCTTTTTAAAAGTTTAACTACTTTTAATTTGCCAATAATCTTAAAAACAACGCGACGGGCGCAACACGAAGAAAAACAAAAACAAAATAAAAAAACAGCGACACTCACACCTGTTCTTGTAAACCACACACACACACACACACACACACACACACACACACACACACACACACACACACACACACTAACTCTCACACACACACACTCACTCACACACACACACGAATTGACAGCGTTCAGAATAACAGAAATCGGATCTGATGTGATTAAACAAGCATGCTTGGCATGCATATTGTATTATTATCAACAATAAATGTGTTTCTGACTTAATTGCGTCATTAAGAATCAACAGCGTCACACACATCCGTCAAAACATGAATCTTTCCCCAATTAATGCACTCATAAAAATAGACAATTACATAGCATAATTGTCATAAAACACAACCAACTCGTTCAGGAATCATTTTACGCGAAGGACTACGAATACTTCCGTTTAAATCTGATTTGAGGCGTGTTGTGTGTTTTTAATTAGATTTTAGTTATAGGCTACACAATCAAAGACTTTCAGGAACAGATATATGATTTCACGATAAAAAATTTTTTTTTTTTTTTTTTGCATTATGCAAATAGTAAAAGCAACCTACTTACATGTGAAACTTGGCTTCTGTTCAGCTGTATATGTGCAAAAGTGTTCACACGTTTCCTCTGATCAACAGAAAGAGCCACAGGAAAGCCATGCTGAAAATCCCCAGCAATAAAAACAAGTTGTGCATTTAATGTTCCAAGTTCAGTCTGAAGTGAATCCACGCGGAAAAGACCCTTAAATCCCCTCTTTTTCACATCATCCTGAATGTCTGTCCTGTCCCTGAGCCATTGATCCGCAATTCCCAATCACACACACAGAGAGAGACTCCAGCACATGAAGTTGTGGCTCTGTGTCTCCTGGATGTTCATGTGTATCTCAGACTGAACTGATCTGAGAGCAGCAGAGAGCCAGTGCTTCGATGTAACGCCTCCTCCACGAACACCATCTGCTCCAGCCGCAAAAAGTGAATAAAGTGCATCATGTTTTGTCATATGGGTTGTTTTAGGTGTGTAATATATAAGCTAGATTGTGTTTTTCTCCTCCCTTTAAATATTACATTAAGCGCATTGTGTTCTTCAAGCTCAGGATTTGGGAGTTAATACAGAAATTTCATGTGTGCATGGCTTTTTTATGTAGAATGAGATACAGACTATTCATATGCATGCAAATGCCATTTCATAACTAATAAAATATACTCAGTGTGAGGTATAATACAGTGCATACGTCATTAATTATATAGGCGATAATACAGTGCATTAAATGGTTTTGCTCACACATATGGACTGGAGAGAAAGATAATTTGTTGAATTAGATAAAAAATATGTCGGTGACTATGAAGTTTGTTCAACTAAATGTGGAATATGAGTTCATAACTCCATCTGTTGGTCAGAGAAAGTATCACAGGGCAGACTATTGTTGTGTAGAGTAATTTTAATTATGCATGTTATTTCATTCAAAGATCATTGCGGGAGATGCATCGTTGTTTTGCTTTAAATTCACAATGAATAGTTTAAATAATCACTGTAGAAATGTGTTGCTTGCATCTTCTATTATTGAGTAGGCTATACGCGCTATTGTATGTGAAATTGAAATGTATTGGGAATCAGGGGCCGAACAAACTTGTGGTCTGTGCACAACAATGCCAAATGTACACTGCAAAGGTGGCACAGAAGCGCTTCTGAAGTGGCATTTAGGTATCTACACAAACTGTTTAATGCGAGGTGGCATAAATGCATTTCTACAACCCTGTTGAAAAAAAACAGCATATGCTGGATAGGTATGCTTTGAAGCTGGGATGCTGGTTTGAGCTGGTTTTAGCTGGTCCTTTGCTGGTCCTTTGCTGGTCCTTTGCTCGTCCTTTGCTGGTTCATGCTGGTTCTTTGCTGGTTTAAGCTGGGCCTTTGCTGGCTTATGCTGGTCCTTTGCTCGTCCTTTGCTGGCTTATGCTGGTCCTTTGCTCATCCTTTGCTGGTTCATGCTGGTCCTTTGCTGGTTCATGCTGGTTCATTGCTGGTTTATGATGGTCCTTTGCTGGTTTATGCTGGTCCTTTGCTGGTTTATGTTGGTCCTTTGCTGGTTTAAGCTGGTCCTTTGCTGGTTTATGCTGGTCAAGTGCTGGTCCTAAACTGGTCCAACCAGCTTAAGAACAGCACATGACCAGCAAAGGACCAGCATAAACCAGCAAAGGACGAGCAAAGGACCAGCATAAGCCAGCAAAGGCCCAGCTTAAACCAGCAAAGGACCAGCTCAAACCGCTTAAACCAGCTCAAACCAGCATCCCAGCTTCAAAACATACCTATCCAGCATATGCTGTTTTTTTCAACAGGGAAAAAATAACAGTATACTTTGATACTATAGTGCCAAATTTACACTGCAAAGGTATACACTCAGTATATATTACTGTATTCCAAATAAGTGGCCAAACACACTGGTTTTCCATCGTTTTCAGTATGTCTTTACACTACAAAGGTGGCCTAGGACGTAGACTGATTTTAACATTGATTTAACAGCAGACAACAGACCTCCCCATCCAACTACCCCAACATTTTCACATTTACAGTAGACTTCTGACCACAGTTTCCCGTCATCTAAAGTCTTTATTTATAGTTATGGTAGCTAAAACGTATAATTCATCAAGAGTTTTTATCTTAGCATATTAATCAGCAGTGTTGGGGAAAGTTACTTTTAAAAGTAATGCATTACAATATTGCGTTACTCCATAAAAAAGTAACTAATTACGTTACTTAGTTACTTTTTATGGAAAGTAATGCGTTACGTTACTTTAGCGTTACGTTTTAAATCTGGACAGGGCTTGCTTGTTTGTTTTTAATATAAAAAAGTTATATTTTTGGCAAATATAAAAGCCTTTCACACCAAAAGTGAAATG